GGTCCGAAAATGCTATATATGTAGCAACAGTGCTATATCTGAAGTGTCATTCATGAAACTGTTAATATTCCATACCAATCTGACCGGAGGAAACTTGGCTAACTGACGATACGGAAAAAAATAAGTTTTTCGAAAAATAAGTCTCACAAGAAGCCTCTAAATGAGCCCATGGCAAAAACGGGCAATTGCTATTTCTGCTCATAACTCACAAAAACGATCATTTATAATTCATACTTTCTGCACAAACAACACATATTCTGAAAGCTGAGATTCCACAGATTCCATGGGTATACACCCCATCACTACAGGCACAACATTAACCGAGCTAGCAGCCAGAACATAGCAAGTAAACAATATCAGTTTTCAAATCCATGACAATAATTAGGTCTTACCTTGGCTGTTTTGTGATCAAAAGTTGTGTTCAAAGGAATAAAAACGCTGCTAATGTCTCTTGTCACTTTAAAATGATTACTGATAATCAATCCTTTCATTCACGGCAGAAGAGTAGGTCCAACGATTAACAGTCCGTGGCTTCAGCTGCGGGAGATGCAGTTTACGCATAGCTCCCCCCTCCGCAGGCGTAACGTATTTACGATATTTTACGATTCGATTGGCTCTAACGATTCAAAAAAGGTGTCAATCACCCAAATCGACCAATGGGTTCCAGAGATAGGATCTTGCGTAAGTATAAGTAAAGGCAGTATAGATGGTTTACACGGTTTACGCACACACCCACTCTTTTTACGCAGCATAGTATAGCATAGCATAGCATAACATAGCATAGCATGTCCCGCGGCGACAGGAGAGCAGAGAACGGCAGATCGATCAGCAGGATTTGTTTTCTTTGTCTTCATTGTAACAATGGCAGCCAGAAAGAAGACTTTTTTGTCCGTCGAGGAGGCATTGGACATCGTATTTCAGGACTCTCCGTCGGAAGATAGTGATCTCGTTACGCATAAAGGGGACAGTAATGACTCTGATTATGAACCTCCGTCACCGGAAAGGTATGTAATCTCTCTGTTTGTATCTATTACTTGTTTATTTGGTGTAAGAGTATTCATCTGTTTTTATCTTTTTGTTATTTATTTGGTGTAAGAGTGTATTCATCCATAGTAATTTCCCACACGTGACAATAACACGACGGCATCCATCTTGTGATATAATGTTCTTTCACACACTCAACAACAAACAAAGAAGATGGATGCCGTTTCTTGTTCTTGTTGTTGAAATAAACAAGACATATACATGTTGAATTTAACACGGTATTACATTTCATTTAACTGACGCTTTTATCCAAAGCGACTTACAATTATTACAATTATTACTTATATTATATATATATATACACACATGCATATATATAAAATATAAATATATGACAGACGGAATATTATTAAATATTGAAAAGATTATATGAACCCTGTCTCACATAATTTACACAGTATACATTTTGAGTGTTATAATGTTATTTCACACACTCAAAATTGATGTTCTGCTGTTGTGGTAGAGAAATTATTTCTGATTTGAGTTACATTTTTGAAAGTACAAGTCAGAGAATTAATCTATTTGTTTTTTCCACATTTGTTTTCACAGTGAGGAAGGCGATGATATGGCTTCTGGATGCCCGAGTATTATGGGGAAGATGCCACCAAGGTCAGGAGGTACTGCAGGAGGTGCTCTGATGCTGGCAACAGAAGGGTGAAGCAGTGGCGGTTCTAGACCAACTTGACTGGGGGGGCCACTGGGGGGCCAGTTATTTTCTGAGGGGGGCACAATAAATGCAGGACGAAAAAGAGAACTAGACAGTATGAAGTAATTGCGCATAAGAAAACAATGCAATACAGTTATTGGTATTTGTTTCAGTACACTTATTTATTTCAGATAGATCTTATAGTTATTACTGTTAGCTTCAGCTTAAGTTATAGTGCAATGTTTGCACTAACACCATATTTATATAAAAATAAAGGCAATGAACAGTTACATCTCTACTTTACATAAGGATGTCTGCACAATCTCACATTACAGCAACAAAATCCTGCGGTTTTTGGCAAACCGAGTACCAGAAAATATACATTTAAAATAAAAAACAAAAATTGTTAGGGGGGCCACAGGGGGGTCAGAGGTCAGTGTTAGGGGGGCACTGGCCCCCCCTAGAACCGCCCCTAGGGGTGAAGACACCCGGGTTGCGTTCCGATAATCCAAAATTAGCTCCTAAATTCTAACCCTATCTCCTATTCCTTGACCTCTGAGTGAAACGTCACAGGGTTAAGGGATAGTGGATAGGAGAATTCAAAAGGACTTAGGAGAAGAGACCGCGGTACTTTAGAGAATCCGAATGCACTTTCACTATCCGACGTGTTTATGATGCGCCAGCGGACGTCATGAATGTGCGTCTGCTGCTGTGGGGAAACTATGGAAACTACAGTTTTCTACAGCGGACTACAACATGGATGTTCAATAAGAACGAGGGACTACTGTAAACTCATCGAGAGACTCTGCACCGTGCTCTGATGCTGTTGTTTTATGAACGTGGACAACAGAGAAACATATTCTTCATGACCAAAGTTGGAATTGAAATAAAAAAGGAAAGTGAAACTTATGCTCGTCACCCTCTCCCTCCGGTCCACATTAATACAAATGATCCCAATACGTATGATTGTATGAACTATGAAAATATCTTAAAATCAATACAAATGTATTTATTATAAACGTTAGTCCTTAACATCTATCACTGTGTATATCACCATTCAAACATCTTTTACAAGTTGAACAAACCCCACACAGCTCAGTAAAGACTGTGAAATGTTGACTTTATTTGATCATTTCAGTAAAAACTAACGTTCATATTTATCTTTTTGATTATAATACTGATGAACGTTCAGAAAAAAGCACTTTGGCAACTTACCACATACGTTTTAAAATGCTTAATAAGCACCGTAACTTTCATGATATCATTTCTCGGTCATAATCGGTTGTTTCCGTGAACGGCCGACTGTTGAGTGACGGCAAATTCTGCGGCTGCATGCAATGCATTGTGGGGCAGCATTTCTCCTCTCCTTTCGGTTAGGGAGGTCCAGTGGTTCCTAAGCTAAAGGAGGGTATAAAGGAAGTTTGAAACCTCCTTTCCTTTCATTTGGAGAATTGGAACGGCACTTATCATGGCTGCCAGTGACGTACTTCCGGGTCATTTCACTCCGTTAGGAAGGTTCCTAAGCTAAATGGACTATTGGACTTCAGCCCTGTGTACTGCAGGAAGTGTCAGGTCGCTCTGTGCTTCACTACCAAAAATAACTGTTACAGGCATGACTTACTGGAGTAAGACTGTAACATTCAGGGTTTGTATAAAGTTTATATTTTTTACCCAAAAAATGCTCGTCGTGTGTTGCTAATTTTTTTTAAATAAATCTGCTCCAGTTGGAGTCAAATGTTTCCTAAGTTTCCTCATTTTTATTGTGCAAGTAACATGCATCTCATGCAAAGAGGGAACTTCCCACACACACACACTTAATTTTTTTTTTACAATAATTATTATTATTTTTTTATGGAATGAATACCAATAGTGATAATTAAATGTTATACAATGATTTTTACAGTCTGGTACCTGAAAAAGGTTAAATGGCACTAATGAAACCAAATGTGCCCAAAGCTTAGTCCGCTTGGACTTTTTTTTGGTGCTAAATCTCTCTAAAAAGGTCAATTCTCACTTGTTTTGCCTCAATCTTGATACAGGGTACTTATTATATGTTATACTTTGGATTTCTAAAGCTTTGAGGCTACTAACCCATCATTCAAGGGTGGTTTTTACTATAAGTAATAGGTTTTATTTGGGCGGAGACAAGAATTTACACTTTTTGACTATGTTCCATCTGGATTTACTCTGACACTGAAACATCTTTATTGATTCTGACACTTCTACATCCAACTCACAGATGTGACCTTGCTTTGATAAAATAAATTATTCATATAACCCTTTTAGAAGTTAAGTTATAGTCCTTTGTTTTGGGCATGTAATTTTCGAGCCTGAAACCTGAAAAACAGGCTTGGGAGGTTAAATATGCCACCTACTGGAGTGACTTGGTGTTACATCTAGGATTGACTAGGTGAAATACCAGTGTTGTTGGGAAACTGATCACAATCTTTAACCAACATCACCGACACTAAATAGAGTAGGAAATAATCTCAGGACTAGATCACTATGTCTAATTTCTTGATTAAGGCAATATTTATTTTTTTCCACTCATTCACAAATATTGATATGAAAGTTGCAAATAGGTTTTTAGCACTCTGCACTGAATGGTGGTAGTTTAATTATGTGCAGGTTTTTGTAAATATGAAAAATGAGTGTTTGTTTTTAAGGTTGCAAACATATTTAGGGTACATATGGACATTTTATTTATTGGGATAAACCCCTTGAGATGCACCATCTCGTTTTCAAGGGGGTCCCGAAATATATATATATAGTACAGGGTTCATACACTTTTTCACCAATGATTTTCAATGACTTCACCATGACCTTTACCTAATTTTCCATGACCAAAAAAATTACTCTCTGTCAGCAGTACCACTGAAAATTGTTTATTTTAACATGGAACAGGAAAATAAGGTCTGCATATGAATCATGTTGTGCCTATCTAAAACCAATCAAATAGGCTTACTAGCTTCTACACGCTAAAGCAACTAAAATCTCTCACCAGCCAAATACAGTCAGTTAAATGCCATTTTACGTTTCATTATACGATACAGTATTTAATATCATTATAGTATTACTATTTCGGCAATTAGATACAATATAAATTGTAATTGATGCAACTTTAGTTACATTTCCACGACTTTTCCAAAACGTTGGGAAAAATATTGTTTTCCATAACTTTTCCAGGGCCTGGAATTAGCATTTTGAATTTCCATGACTTTTCCAGGTTTTTAAATGACCGTAAGAACCCTGATAGTATAATGTAAATGCACACAAAATTAGCATTCTTCACTGAAAGGAGACAAAGATAATCCATGAATGCAAAGGTACTTTAATAAAATAATGAGTTTTACAATTATATAGATCTCATGTAGGTTGTGTAAATAAGAAACAAGATTTGTTTTCATGATTGTTAAACCAGGAGAAAACAAGGTGGTGGGGTTCCAGGTTTAGTGAAGCTTAATTTGGCACTGTTTGAAAACCAGTGAAATGTTTTCAGAACAAGATCAATTTTTTCCTCGGCAGACATTTAATCTTTTGGAGCCTCATTGGCTAAATTGTCCAGGTTTTGTCCGTCAAAGCGTATCAGGTGCCATCCTTCGCTGTCTGTGAGGTCCTGAGCGCATTTAGCAGCGTAGAAGTCTCTGGATGGGGTATTCCAGTCCAGCACTGATAACTGCAGCCGCACACACTGCTTCTCCTTCCCCACCTGAGAAACAGAACAGCCGTCTTCTTCTTCATCACACTGGACAATTTTTCTTTAAATGTGCTTTAGAGGCCAACAAACATCCTTGGTGTGCCCTATTAGCTCAACTTACAGAACGTGTGTCAAATGTGTGGGAGTCTTTACCGCATGTCGTCCCCTCACTCTCTCCCTTTCCTGTCAATGTTAAGCTGTACTAGTCAAAAATAATCTTTAAAGAAAACACATTATTACCTTAGCGACTTTGCAAAGTAAACCCTTTCCAAATCCATTTCCTGTAAAGGAAATCAATACAAAACATTTACCAAATCAATTAAACAGAAATTGCAAGACGAAGACAGTACATAAAACGTATTTGTGAGAAGTACTTAACACATAGTTTACCTCTGAATTCTGGCATCACGTATAGATCCTCCAAAAACAATGTCGGCCCCTTCCATGTACTGTAAGTGTAAAAGTAAAAGGCGTATCCAACTACTGTGAATCCTACATGAACAAAAAGGAACAAGCACTTCAAAGACAAGCAGAAAGAGTTACAGAAACATTGAAATGGCAACAAATAAAGAGGATTGTTTTCTTGTTTTGCATTTTAAAAAATCATTATTGACTTTTTATTATCTGTGCAAGATGCCGATAAGTTTGGAGCATGCTGACATGGGGGAGATAACCATGGCTTTGATCAACACTTTACCATCTTTAGATTTATTCTCCTCAGGCACTTCTGCAACGAGGCATTCAAAGAAAGGATTCTGGCAGAAACCGTCCCGCTCCAGTTCTAAAGTAAACAAACAAACAAACAGATTAAGCACCTAAAAGCAACATTTTACATTATAAATAATATGAAATATCTGCAACCAAGTGACACATCATAAACAAGACTTGAAACATTTAAAAATTAATTCTCAACCTTTTTTTTTGTTGCATCTCTGCTCTTATTAAGCTAAGATAATAACACTGCTACAAAATATTAAATTACACAAGAAACTAAGAAATGATTTGACTTTAGCACAACCAACTACTGCACATCTTTTAATTGGAAGGTTTAATGCAGACTAAGTTGTTAACTCATAAACATATTGAATGCATTTCCTACTTCAGTATGTGTACTTTTACTTAAGTAAACTATAGTACTTCTTCCAACACCGGTAGAAATCTATGTACAACTACACTAGTGTTCAAAAAGTCAACCCTGGTACCTCTGTATTGTACATAGTCACCTCGCGGGAGCGTGCACAGCGTAAAGCCAAAACTCACAGACATTTCAATGATTTGTACGGCACAGTTAGGTTTGGAAACGGTATGACTTCCTTTTTGGAGGGCATGCATAACACGGCATAACACCGGAGCCTCGCTGCGGGGAAACTTTGGCGCTGTTCCGAGTTTGTTCTAATCTGTCAAAATGACGGACTGCTTTCAGATTTGTCCGTCATTGTTCAAAAAAATCCGTCATAGACGGAAAATATTCGGTTAACGCGACCTCTGACTAGGAGTAAACGGTCTTGCAGGAAAAACTCTTAATTATTTCAAAGCAAAATTGCTGCCAATAATTTTCTGGTACCACTTGTGGTTTTTGTGAACTTAAATATAATGTTTGATTCTTTCACACACACATACGGGTATTGGGCCGAGGGCGACACCGTACTTCCGGTATCCGCCGTTTTACGCGAGGTGCAAGCAGGCCAAGGGTTTAGCCGTACACCGTCTAGGTGTTGCTAAGCTTCCTGTACTGAATATCATAGTCTATTGCCTTAATCAATATCTAGTCAACTCTAAAATACCACATATATGCAATGGCATGATAATATTATTGTGACAAGTGGGGTATTCCAGAAATTAGACGTAGATGCAGACGTAGATGCAGCCAAAATCGACACAGTCTGTAAGGGCAATCCGACAACCCACACAGCTCTAGTTTACGCTGGTAACGACCTAAAGCACACCCCTCAAGTCCAGAGATGTAATCCGAAGACATGCAGCGATTTCTTCGGTCGTTAATTCAGAAAAAAAAACTAGTGCGCCCCGCCCTGCTACGTTAGCTAGCTGTTTATATTTGCACTTCCAGGATAGTTGCACCTCCATAAAAATGGGGTATTTATATATATATATATATATATATATATATATATGGCGCGTGTTGCATTGTGGGTAGCTCGTGACGTCACTGTGTGTGAAAGAATGGTTTAATCTATACCAAAAAAAATTATAAAGTTACTAGTAAATACATCTGTAAAATAAAATAATTGTAGTGGCCAAAATGTAGTACAGTAGAAGTATCAAGAAGTACAAAATAAAAATACTACAGTTAAGTACAAGTACCCTCAAATGTGTACTTAAGTGCAGTACTTGAGTAAATGTACGTAGTTACTTTCCACCACTGCACTTTAGACAATGTCACACTTCAACATGCAAACCCAGTAGCACTCATAATAACTGATATGCTGGTAGTACTATAGAGCTCTTTCACAGACATTGATATTCAGAGTAGGAAAAACACAGCATTTGTTTTAATTATCGATGCCATCACTTGCCGTGTTTGTCCAATACATTATGAGGAGCATTACCTACCTTCATGGGATATCTTCACTTGGTCGGGCATTTTTTCATAAACCGCCAATTCCTGAGAAAAAGGGGGTTTAAAACCACACTTTATGTGTAAATATGTATACAATAAATGGCGTGAGGCTCTTTCATTTAACAAATAACCTTAAAAGACGTTCAACCTAAAGTTATGGTTTCAACACACAGTGAAGTCAGGTCGGCACAGTAAAGTGAAGTCAGTCACATGTCAGCTTAACAACCCAAACCTCACCACTATCATTCTCGATATTTCTTTGCAGTCTTCTTTTGTTGCAGCTCGTACTTTGAAATGCATCTTTGGTTATAATTCTCTACAGTCCACTCTTTATCCTGACTTCTCCACTACCTTTTTGTTCCTCAGAGACAGACGTCAAGTGAGAAGTGACTACAAACAGTAACCGCGTTGATGTTGTCACTACCCGATCCGTCCCCCTGCCCGATCGGTACTGCGCATGTGCGAGATGGTCCGCCATATTGGACAACTCCGGACAGCAGCCCAAGATAGACAGTTGACACAGTGGCTTTTAGCAAAGCTGAAAAAGAAAACTCGAGAGAGATGAGTTATTGTTATTACAACGTGACTTCACTATTATTTAACAACTCTTTTTATTCGGTTCTTTTATTTGGGGTTAAGTACATTGTCAGAATAAGTGAGAAATGGATTTAACTTCTGTTAGACAGCTATCATACTGAATACATATTTACTGTGAATGTATGCAAACATGTATGGCATATAGCTGTCTAACAGAAGTTAAATATATCACTAGATCCTGTTACAGCGTAATATAAGTACATAACGATTAATGTTACATTAGCATAATTACTAGCTAGCCGCTAGCTGCTAACTGCCGCCTCGTTAATATTATCAAATCCATCATAATAACAATCCATTACCGTCCATGCTGTCATGAACGCGCGGTGCTGTTACGTGTACGCAAATTGACGTGCTCGATTTTTTTTTATTTAAAAAAAAAAAAATGTTTTATTGAACATTTTTAAAACATACAAAAGCTCGGTGAGGATATCATCAACTTAACAACATAAGTGCAAGACATTCATTCACAATAAGACAAAAATAATACATCCAATAAGAGCCAGGGGGAGAGAAAAAAAGCATAAAGGCACAAAAACATTTGAGAGGCATTAAGCTTACTTAAAATAATAACCATTTGGAAATGTCATTACAAATCTTTATAGACATGTTACAAGATTGTATTTTCCTAAGGGACAGAAAAAAGGACTTGAACTCATTTATGAAACAGGGAAAGGAGGGCTTGCCTCCTCTCCATTTACTACAATGTAAATGATATTTACCCAAAATAATAATTATATTTACCAAATCAGATATGGGAGAATCCAAATGATCAATATAATATAAAATGTGATATATTTTGAAGGCCGGAATGTTTGTTAATTTAAGTAACAACCAATCTCTCACATTCGACCAAAACAATTTAGAAAAAGGGCATGAGAAAAATAAATGTTCCAACGATTCATCAGATAAATTACAAAAGGAACATGGTTCCACTTCAAATTTAAATCTTGAATTTAAAAAAGTAGAAACCGGGTAGATTTTATGAACAATTTTAAAATGAGTTTCTTTTGCTTTAGGAGAAATAGGCCATTTTATAAAATGAGATAGAGCTTTTTCCATTACAGATAAAGTGTCTAAATCGGTCCCTTGTGGAAATAAGTCTCTGTTCAAATTGTGAAAAATGTGGGATTTCAAAGAAGCATTAATAGATTTGTTATTCTTAAGAGTATTGTTTGTAGATGTATGTGCATTAATAAACAAGGCAAGTCAGGCTGTGTCTCAACGCCGTGTATTCACACTGAGCAGACAATCATACAACGGAGGTATATTACGTGAGGCAGATATATATATAACACAGGCACAATACGTCCACAGGGTGGAGCTGCAACCTAGCCTAAACCACCCTGTAACAAGTATCGCCAATAAAATCCAAACTAGGTAAAACTGATACAACATTTGAGTACAGTAAAGTATTATGAATCATTTCAATAAGTGGTACAGGAATTGCTTTACATATTTTGTTATAATCTTTAGCAGTGCACGTTATATTGTATTTCGTTGAAAAAGCCAAAACATCTAGCAGTTTACCATTGCAATCGAGTAAATCACTAACAAACAAAATACCCCTCTCATGCCAATCACTCCTAAACAAGGATTTTCTGTTTATAATAATCACTCTATTGTTCCATAAAGTAGATCCATGAGGAGAAAAATTGTGGGTAAATATCATTTTCCAATAATGAAGTATCTGCTTATGAAAATTTGATAATTTGGTCGGAGTCTTATTAACCTCAAAATCACATTTTAAAAGAAAATCAAACCCTCCTAGACGTTTAAATATGGCCTTTGGAATATGGAACCACATGGATTCTGGCTGGGACAAAAAAGATTTCAACCATTTTATTTTAATTGTTCCAATTAAAACACACTTTTTAATGTAGTGAGTTTTATTTCTCCACAAGAATTGGAAAATAATTGAGTTTTTTTTTTTAATATTGGCCGAAGAGACAAAACATGAGTGGCATGGATAAATACGTTTAGATATACCTTCTGCTTTAGTAAGAAGAACTCTGCCAAAAATAGTAAGATCTCAGATATGAAGAAATCTCTCAGTCGTTGGTTAACTACAACGACTGAGAGATTTCTTCATATCTGTGATACGGTTACAAATATTAAGATCTTCTCTCCTGATATAATTTTTGGATAATGTTATTCCTAAATATTTCACTTCAGGTACCACTCTAATAGAGTCAATAATGGAATCATCACATGAATGGATCCCAGATAGCAATTACCTTTGGGCCGGATCCGCACGAAAGCCTTTAGATCCGTTTGTAGCTCACACACGTTTTTTGACTGTGGGCCAGATCCGCACCAGATAGAGCTTTCAGCCTAAACATTCCATTTGCAAGCAGTGCAGTATTTTTGCTGGTTTACAGATTTGGCCCAGATCCGTAATACGTATTTGAGCCGCAAGCGCCAGAAATCATTGGAATGGAACAAATCAAAAATAATATGGGGGTGTAACGTCTTCATATATTTCTTTGATTATTGAATTGAAACATTAAAATAAAATAAAATATAACATTGAAAACTAAAAACTTAACACAAAAATAGTCTCCTAAAGTAACGTGGCATTGTACGATTGAATTAAATATTAAACGATAGATTAATATTTTTTCATTACGCTAATGCCCACTATCCATAATCCAAGTAGCCTACTCTGAGTTTTCACAGCCAACGTTCGCCGGCGGCAAATTCACTCAAGAATGATCAACTCAAGTAAGTATAGCCAACATTTTTGTTCTAATTTTGTATTTGTGGTTGGTATATATATGTATTATATGTGTATGTATGCGTCGATTGATACGCAAGTGACTCAAAATGCTGAAGTTTTTTGTCAAAACTCTGTTAGTTGATCATAGTTTAGATAAGCTAACGTTAGCGTTAGCCAGTGGATAGGATAGCCGAGCAAGTTACAGCCTTGAAGAGTTCATATTAATTTAAAGGTGGAACAGTATGTCAAGTAAAAAGCAGGATTAACGTATAACTTTAATATTGAACTTTTATTCGAATAGTGACGTTAATGTGAGTGGAGGCATTGTGCTTTTAAAGGCGGGCTCAGATGGCAGGAGAGTGGTTTGCTGAAGACTCAATTCGGCATTAAACTTGGTAACACACAAACATAAGTTTAACTTGTAGTAAACTTAGACGTCGATATAAATGACTTATGCGAGTATGTTTCCATCCCCACATGCGTATTAAATCTTACGTTTCAATTTGTATATTTTATATTTCAAGTATTTGCTGTTTACTGATCTTGTTGGGCATAAGTTAGCCTGAATGATTCACAACATTACGTTAGTAAATCTTGCTTAAAATGTATTTAATTAATTATGATAAATGAAATGAAATGTTAAGCCACTTATAGCGCTTCTTGATTCGTGTGTTGCTTGTTCACCAAAGTTAAATCTGTCCTGCCCTGTGAAGCCGCCTTTTCTGTGTCATGGAGTCATCGATTTACTTCAGCTTTAAGATTCGCTGTCATGTGTGTCCTTGTAATGTGCTATATGAATAAAAGACTGAACATTTGGAGGGTGTGCTTGTGCATGTGGGGGTTGGGTAATCGAGAAAGGTAAAACATTGGGTACAAAATTAAAGAAAGGAGTATTTGAATAATGGCACTGCTGCGCTCCAGTCTGAAGCGGAGGACCAGCCCCGAAAACGAAAACGGAGGGGAACAAAGTATGCACACAATAGTTACAGTTATTGGTTATAATAGAACTATTGTTTCTTGTCACTCAAATACATGTGTTTTGACTAGATACCCAACCTACGAATCAGACACTGACTTTGAGCCGGTGGCCCAAAAAACGAGGGGTGTTATTCTGCAAAATGCTGCGACGTTACCCTTCATCCCACCACCGTGCTTCAGTAAGTCTAACAATGATGAGTCCACTATTGGTGGCACTCCAGTGCACTCCGTTTCGTTTCTATATGTTGATATGTTTCTATATGTTCCATTAGCTGCCAATTCTCAGGACCACCAACGACCACCACCACAACAACCCTGCATCTGTAAGTTTATCTTTCATGGCTCCTTTAATGGTGGCCGCTCATGGCTCCACACACCCTCACGTTTCGTTTCTATATGTTGATATGTTTCTATATGTTCCATTAGCTGCCAATTCTCATGACCAACACCACCTAAACGACATCAGCTGGAACACAAGGCGTCTCGGGTCTGTTGGTGAGACATTAACTGGTAAGAAGTTTCAGCCTAATGTAACAGGTTCATAAATGTATGTATAAAATATATATAAAGATGTGTGTGTGTGTATGCACCCACACACACACTTATATGCCAGTTTATTAGGTACATCTAGGGAAAGCTAATGCAGTCTATTACAACAGTCCTGCAATAAATACCCCTTCCTGATTTTTGTTTGAAAGAGTTTAAGAGAGATGGCGATTCAACTGTATGTTATTGCTGTTGATGTATTTATCTTATACACTTATATGTGTTGATTACTTTGTGCTGTGCCACTGCAAGTCCTGTTCCTGCCTATTGCCAACACTGCCTCTCTTTTTCACACTTTCTGTTGCTGTCCACCATCTATTAGGCAATGGCATTTTCACAGTTACTCCACCTGAAAGACATCCACCATTTATGAGTCCAGATTTCAGTTACCCTGAATTGTCCACATTAAATGGTGAGTTTTTAGTGCAAATACATATCCTGAAGTGTACATAGAACTATTCTAATACATAATTCTCCATTTTAGGCCCACACACTACCAAAATCAATGGCATCATGAAGTATGTCGACCAGTAGGGAAAAAAAGTATTTAATGCATAATTTTGATTCAGTAAACATAGATCCAATGCGGTTATTCATAGGAAATTTTGACAAGACATTGGTATTTACTCAGGATTTCTTGAGTTAATACCAAAGTCTGGTCAACATTTTCTGTGAATAGCCATATTGGAAATACGTTTACTGACAAAAATGTTGATGCGTTGAATACATATTTTCCCCACTGTATGTGCATATGCAAAGCTATACTGTAAGAATATTTTTTTTGTTGAACCTATAAATCCTTTAATTCAATGCTAGACAAATGATGTCAAATACCAAAACATATAAATACTGTATATTTTTTAAACCAGTCTTATAAGTATTACAGTCTTTTAGTTTATATGTTTGTGTTGCCAATTTATTTTCTTATTTATTTATAATCTGCTAATCACTATTGATTTTCCTTTTGCCAAATAGCCAGCGACGGTCGGGACCAAGGAGGCAGGGGTCATTTCACACAATTAATGAGGCCCACAACACCCAGAAATGAGCATGTCTTCAGGCCCACATTTAGGGTTGGGGGTGATAGTGGCCCGATTCCCTGCACAGGTAAGACAAATCGTGATAGTATTGTATCTTGAGTTACTCTGCGAATCCAACCCACACACATTTCCCCTATACTAGTATATTTTGAATGGTTAGGCTAAGTTTTTAATTTAGGAGTGATATCAAAATTCTATTAACTGACTAAGCATTATATGGTCTTGCCCTATCAAATATCTTTATTTTTCCACATTATTTCAGCTGCAGAGCTGCATGGCCTGTTGCTGCTAGAAAATATTAAGCAGCAGGTCAACCAGTTAGCAGGGACTTTAGACATTTTGATGGCGAAAGTAGGATCAGGCCTGCATGCCCCAACCTACGAGATGCCCGAAGAGTTCCAATTCCCCCTCCACAGCGATGGGGAATTGGAGCGTTTCGAAGAGTGGCCCCGCAACACTCTAAAAGAAAGAATGAAGACAAATCTTGTAAGTATTTTTATGGGACATGTTTTCATATGCTCAATACAAAATGTTAGCCTTGTTTGTCTTTGAGTTTGTTGCAGTAATGTTGACATGTATATTCAGTTCAGTTTCCATTCTCCACCTAGGCGACTTCGCTCTCCTTTGTTGGAGGGGTGGACACTAAGAGGGTTGTGTGGAATATTCTGGCAAGAATGATTACTGCACCGTGGCACGCAGGATCAATTGGAAGGGAGTAAACGGCAAAAGGGCCTTCAATAAAATGGCCATGAAAATCGTTATATTCCGTAAGTGTCTTTCCAAATGTTTATTTCATCATAATGGTGTAAAAAGAATTAGATTGGCCTAGTTGAATTAGATTGCATTCACTCAATTTCCATCTTCTCATTTAACAGACACTTCTATCCTACAGGTAAAGTTTAAGCAACAGTTTGTTCTCTTGGAACTGAATCTATTACCTTAATCTTGTAAGCACTTTGTTTCACAACACTCCCTTAGCCTGTCAATCACTACCTTGTAAGTCTTTCACTTTCCATCTATGTGTTTGCATGTGCTGCAAAGTTTTTCTATTTGTTTTTACACTATGCCCATCATTGGCGGGCCAGGTGTTTTATGGTTAGGCCTTCAATGCCGATTTATGTTTTATAGGACTAAAAAACAATTGTATCGTTTTAGCATTTAAACGCACACTTTTCAAGCATTTTGACACAACATTTAAAACTCGGTAGCCCTACCAAGTTTAATCAAACACAAACCAAGTTTTACATTTTGCAACATGTTGCACATACAAATGTACGGAAGCCTGTTGCTGCCTAGCCAGAAAGAAACCCTGATCAGGATCACAATATTACATGAAAAGTGTATTGTTATAACAAGATGTTTATCATGTGATAACAATATATTTTTCACGTTATAAAGTTAAAATGTTAAAACGTGAAAAACATCACTTTGTATGTTATAACGTGATACTGATCTTTTTTTTTCCTGGCGTGGCAGCCATAAGCTTTAGTACAAATGCGCTGCTCGACAGAACGCTGCATGTATTCTTGTTTAATTTCGCCATCGGGTGTTACTCAAATGATTGGCAGGTGCTAATATGAATAATAATGTTGAATGTTCGTGTCGTAAATTATTTTGTAAGACATATCCTTTACCCATCCTGTAGCCTTCCTCCAGTTACGCTTCGATGCTAACTCTGCCTTGCAGGCCCTGGTCGTATTCTCCATGTGTGCGTGACAGTATCAAGGTAGCCAAGCCTTTCTGTTGTACAATTCGCGGTTGCTTGTGATTGACTGATTAACTGCTTGTGCCTTTTTGGCATCACATTAGATGATTAATTAATTTGTGCGTGTCATGTGTTGCAACGGTCAGCAATTGTCTGCTCTACTGCACTGACTGGGAAATGTTCTATCGCCCCAGAAGAGAGGGGATGAACAGGAAGCTAATTTATTTCAATAACTATTTGTTTATTTTAAAACTATTCATACATTTTTATTTATTTTTAAAACACTGATGGAAAGTGTTTGTTTTTTTAACAAACAAAGCGAGAAGGAAAACGAGGAAGGAAGGATAATGAGAAGGAAAACAGACATTTACAGTAAACTAACATATTATGTATGAATGCAATATTTGGCTTAATTTTGGCTTAGCAGGGCCCTGACTGTCCGCCACTGACGCCTACTCTGAATGCCACCTCTATGGTCTCTGTCCCCATTGCATGTGCAGCATGTCTTAACGTTACATTCACCCACTGGCTGTCACTGGTCTCTGTTGGCCATTGCTAAATCACCTTTCTTTGTAGATGGCACTACAGTCTAGCATATTAGAACAGTGTAAGAACTTATTTTGTGTGTTTGTTTTACAATAGGTGCAGTGCGCAAATGCGCTATAACGAGTGCAGCGATGGATGCAGACATATCCCAGCATACCATTCGCTGGTTTAACCTGGCAAGCGACAGGGAAGGGGGCCGCCAGGAGAGACAGGAGAGGAGACGTCAAAGCCAGGATACACTGCCCGTCCCCGATCGACAATATTAATTATTTTATCATTTTTGTTTCGTTTTGTTTTAAGTTTACAGTTCATGTTTTAATAAAGTTTCATGTTCACGTATACAGCAAACATCTCGACGTGTATATTGTTATTTTATGTTTCTGATACCTTGAGTAAAGTAAGTGTCTGAAGTAAATACCACCACCATAGTTAGTTTGTTTGCTATGGTCACAGCACATTACCTAATGCCAAACATAATCTGAGGATTTACTTGGTAAACTGCAGACGTGTTAAACACCATCACATGTTATTCATCATTTACACAGTTCCTCCTTAATTTCGCTTGCCTAGCTCTAAGCTATTGAAAAGTACTTAACGTTTATGAATGTACCTCCTTCATTTGACTGGTCCAATAACTTTAGATGAAAAGTGAAATGGCGACACTTCCATGAAGACTTAAATATAGCCAATATTAGCAAGGTTTAATGTGTTTAAATGCCGAAGATAAGGCAAAAATTGAAGTTGGCAGTAGTCTGGTAAGCGGATCCGTATCACATCTGGAACGTGGGTCCGTACCGGATCTGGAACGCGGAGTACCATATTGAAACGGAGCTGGACCAGTGCTGGCCCATATCTGCCGCAGATCCGTTTTGCGGATCCGATCCAGTTTCGGGCCGATGTGCGTTTGGACAACGGACCGAGTCCGTTTGGCGGATCCGGGCCAGATCGTCTGCTAGGTGCGGCCCAGTTCCGGCCCAGTGTCTCTTTGTTATCTGGGTAGGGAGTAATTGACGTGCTTGATGTGAACGAGCATTTTGGTTAAAGTTGCGCATGCTCTATGAGTGCACATACGGGTACTTCTCAGGCATGCCGGGTAATCTGTGACGTTTCACTCTCTCAAAAGTTGGGCCATTTTATCATCATGCGCTAATGAGCAGCTCTCATAGGAATGAATGAGGCCCCGCCTCCCACACTGTATCCAGTTCTTATTATACATCCATGGTAGTGACAGCATGGATGTATAATAAGAACTGGATACAGCGTGGGAGGCGGTAGAAATACATTGCTTTTAAAATCGTGCTGTGCAACACGAAAAAAAATCGTGCTGTGCAACACGAAAAAAAAAAAGGGGCAAATCGTGTTGGGGAACACGAATCAATAGATTAAAAATCGTGTTGGTGAACACGAAATGCCGTGAGACTGGGTTGGGCATAGATCAGTGGTCCCCAAACTAAGGCCCGCGGGCCGGGTACGGCCCGCCTCCACATTTGGCCCGGCCCCCTGAACAATACCAGAGACGCATTATGATTTTTTTTTTTTTTTTTTTTTTTCAGTCTGGCCACGCGAATCCTAGACTAGCCCCTGTCAAAATGTTGTGACCTGCTCTATCGAAATCAGTCGCATTGACCCGAAGACACCTTTTGAGTTGTATACACAGTTGGAAAGAGGATATTCCTAGCTTTCTAATGATATCCGGATTGTTTTTGTACTTAAAATATTAAGCGAAATATGTCACATTATATAATGACTGTCACCGAGTCATCATTTTGAGAAAAAGGCCTTCAAAGTTGTCTCTTCTCTGGAATCCATCGATCTGATTGATTATTAGCGGAGCAAATGATCAAAATACTACCAAGGGAAGATATTTTCATTTGGAGGGGAAGCTCGCGAGTGTGTGTGTATACGTGTGAGTGTGTGTGCTTGTGCAATTTTGCATTTGTGTGTATTGTGTTTGTTTCCCGGGGAAAACACTCACGAGAAACACCGGCTGTTGTTATGCCTGCCGTTCTCCGCTTGTAATTATGCCGAAGCTTCAAAGTTGTATTTATCATCTGAATTTGCCGAAACAAGTTTAATATTCTGAAAGCCAAGACTTTGTTTAATTGAAATCAGATGAAAACAAACTGTAACGGACCCTGCAGTGTTATCTATGATTACTATACTCTTACATTCATAATTTCAGCGGAGTGAGGGGGGGGGGGGGCGGCGCTGCGGAAGAGCAGATTGCGAGTGAGAAATAAATAAATTGGAAATAAAAGTTTCATATTCTGAAAGCCAAGACTTTGTTTGTTTAAAATCAAACAAAACACCCGAACCCCAAAAAAATAGTTTTTTTTACGTAAATCCACGTTTATTTTTGAGAGATTCTGCTCTGACAACTAAGCTAAACTTTTACCTGTTAAGATTGTGCACGGCACAACAGAAAGTTACAGTAATTTTCAATGGACTTTTTTTCTGTGAAGAACCCAGAGAGGGTTATTTGGTTATTATTTATTTCATTAATAGTTATTATTTATTTCCTGCCTTTTTTTCTGTGAAGATCCCGGAAAGGGTTATTAATATTTGGTTATGTGTGGCTTTCTAGAAAACAATAAATGTTTACGTTTAGACACCCATGCGATCGTCACACTTTTTCTGTTACAAACTGACCCGGCCCCCATCAGAGAAGGGAAAAGTTATGTGGCCCTCACAGGAAAAAATTTGGGGACCCCTGGCATAGATGCTTCTCTGCCGCTGTCCAGCTGACGTGGCGCAAACAGCCTGGGGATGTAGACAGGACTCATGGGGTTGTCATTTTTTCTTCCTAAGCAGACAGAGGCAAACATGGTAGAATATTAATGTGTGTATAAGGCCTCCTAATAAGATAATGACAAGTATTACGATCCTTAACTTAAGTAAAAGTAGCAATAATAGCCTACATGTAATATAAATACACAAGTAATTTAAGGCATGCATTCAATAATATTGAGAACGGCAATTTCTTTCTCAATTTTCTCCCAGAAATGTGTCTTTTATTCAAATGCAGTCGGTTTCAAGCGTAGAGGAACACAGAGCAAAACTAATGCAATCCTTTCAAAACTGGGAATATTTTACTCGTGCTATGTTACCATTACACTGCTAATGGTAATTATTATTCGGCAACTGAATTATCTATGTTGAAGTATTTAGAAAACTTATTTCTGACAAAAGAAGCTAAAAGATAACAATAAGTGAAGAGCTTACCGGAAACAAAGTGTTGACTACACAATCTGGAGTTAGATGTCGGCTGCCAGTGATCCCTTCTGATGGCAGCCAGCCATTTATTACGACGGTCTAAGTCTTTGGGGATCGATACAAACTGTAGTCCGGGGTTCCTCTGGCGACTATTGTCACAGCCCACAGCACAACAAATCCCAGGCATATCCACAAACTTTATTATTCACGACGCGTCTTTCTCTGTTGCTTCCTCCGTGTTCTCTGTTGTTGTAATGACTTGCTGTGACCGGACACCAAAATGGCGGCGCTAGAATACAGTGACGTCATGTGGTACCCATGAATATGTGTGTCTGTAATTTATACTGAATGTAAAGTAACTGGAAATACCTGTGTGTGTGTGAGAGAGAGAGAGAGAGAGATCGACTCCTTCTCCAACCTCCCAAACTTTCTTTTTATGTGTGCATTGTTATTTGTGCTTGAGCAACATTTTACTTGAACTTTATTTCAATGAAATTAGTTGTAATTATTGTCCTACATTTTAATTTGTTTTACAGAGATGTTTCACAGCTGTCTGGGCCTAGTGGCCCACAAGCGGCGTTTATCCAGCAGCCACAACATCCATCTGTGCCGGCCCCCAGGTCAAGATCTACTGTGGCTCAAGGGCCTTCACCAGAGCCATCACCACCAAGGACCAGCAGACCAGCATCACTACAGCTGCCTCCATCTGCGGCTGCCACCAGGTCAAAATACACCTCAGCACAAAGGCTCCACGACAGCCATCACCTTCAACCCAGCCAGCAAGGAGGTCTCGTGGAGGTCTCGTATAGCACTTGTTCACCCCACCTACACAGCAGCCCATGCACCATCACCCCCATCTTCACAGCAGCCAGACCCACTGTCTTGGAAGACAGACAAAGACCTTGACACTGTCTTGACATTTATAATGAATAGTTGGTTGAAAGTTATGATGTTCAATATTGTAAATAGTTAGATTTTCCAGTTTCTTATATGAATAGTTGGTTGAAAAAAACATATTTATAATAAATTGTTGGTTGAAATAAAAAGGTTGAATGCTCAATTTGTATTTTTCACATGAACCTTGGTATGTAATATGAAGTCATTATTCAGTCCTAATGTATCTCAGTCCCTGCTGTGGTGAAAGTAGAGTGATAAACACCTATTTTACTAAAAATTCGAATTTAATTTTTTTAATTTTAGACATGAATAACACATTTATATACAGTGTAATTCAAATATTTCACTGCTTTTGTGATTCTAGGACTTTGGTAACCAAATCTAAAACACCAAAACAATTCGATCACATGAGTAAATTTGTGTTTTCACAAGAGTTTTGAAGATTTTCCGAAAATCGGATGTCAAATCAAACAGTGCTCTAAGGTGAGTAATATGCATATATAGCAAGTAGGGCTGTCAAGTTAACGCGTTAATAACGCGTTAACGCAAAAAAAGATTAACGCCACTAATTATTTTAACGTGATTAACGCATGTGTATTTTTTGTCCTCGGCCGCCTATGGAGTCAGATTTGGGTCAATATTGTAGTGCGCAAAACAAGCTACTCACGAGTGGAAAATGTGCTTTTACACGCGCATGAAATGACCCCCGCGCGCAGATTAAACCCCCGAGAGAGACAGCCCTCTTCTCGCTCGCGGGAGTGTCAGCCTCACTTGCTCGCGGAGTCTGTCTACGCGCGCGTGAAAAGTTTCTAACACTTTGGGGCGGAGCCACTGGACTTTGATTGACAGCTGCAAGGAAGCCCGGAGTTGCCAGGTTTGATAAATGCCTGAACTACCAAGAGCCGAGGAGTGACAGCTGCAAGATCAGTTGGACGAGACTGAATGGTAAAGTTGTCCATAAAAAACTATTATATTCGTAAAGTGTAAAGCTAATATATATATATATATAAATATATATATATATAAATTAATTTGAGATAAAAAAAATTACACATTAATTCTAGGAGTGCAATACTTTTACAAACACTAAAGTAATAATATGCATTCATTATGACAACATCATACTATTACTATAGGAGTGTTCTTGTGTTCAAAAAACAACTACAGAAACACTATATATTATACTATAGTTATACTATTTAAAATAATATAGGAATACTACAAAGATCTAGATACATAGTATTACTATTGAAATATTATAGGGCTACTATAGCTAATGGCACTACAGAAAAAACTATAGTAATACAATAGCTGGTGAAAAATACAAACTTACTAAAGGACACTATACAACTCTTATAGTATACTATAGTAATACTATAATTCATTTATAGTTCATTTCGTAAGGGAGGTGCATACAGCAGACAGCAGTTTTCGACATATACAGCCCACTCAAAAATATATTGTTTTATATAAAATTCATTAAGATATATATATATATTAGCTGTACACTTTACAAATATAATAGTTTTTTATGGACAACTTTACCATTCAATCTCGTCCAACTGCCGTCACTCCTCGGCTCTTGGTAGTTCAGGCATTTATCAAACCTGGCAACTCCGGGTTTCCTGGCAGCTGTCAATCAAAGTCCAGTGGCTCCGCCCCAAAGTGCCAGAAACTTTTCACGCGCGCGTAGACAGACTCCACGAGGCTGATACTCCCGCGAGCGAGCAAGAGGGCTGTCTCTCTCGCGAGCGAGCGCAGAGCCGCTCGCGGGCGCAGAGCTGCTCGCGGGGGTTTAATCTGCGCGCGAGGGTCATTTTATGCGCGTATAAAAGCACATTTTCCGCTCGTGAGTAGCTTGTTTTACGCGCTAGAATATTGACCCAAATCTGACTCCAGAGCCGCCCCGTAGTTTCAGAGCGCATCGAGTTTAAAATACCATCTACAAGCTGATGCTGACAGCCCCGCTCCTGCCGCCCGCTTGTGGCAGACCACACTCCCACGCTCACCGGCAGGCACCGACTGGCTGTTGGGAGGACCGGGAGGGTGTGTGTATGTGTGGCCCGAGCGAGCGAGAGAGACCTTACGTGCATTGTTGTTGTTAGCATCTGGTGCTAGCTAGCTGCGCTAACGGATATGGAGCTGTTTAAATGAAAACAGAGGAGCGACATTTCGCCACAACTGCGCCGAGCACTTGACTTTATGCAGGAAGCCAGACAGTGGGACATTGTACGAAAAGTCAGCACACTCAGCACGGATAGTGCGCAACATGATTGCAGCGTCCAGGCAGCTCCCGTTCGAGCATATGCCTTGAGTTGCACATAGCTCCAACGATCCATCACACACACACACACACACACACACACACACACACACACACACACACACACACACACACACACACACACACACACACACACACACACACACACACACACACACACACACACACACACCATTTGTATTGTATTATTGTATGAGAGAGGTTCCAGGTTGAATTGAGGCAAATATTTGTAATGTTCAGAGGTTGTTGTGTTTAATATTCATGAGAATATTTGTCAATGTTCAAATGATAATAAACATTAGCATAAAGCATATTTGTCCACTCATATGTTGATAAGAGTATTAAAAACTTGAAAAATATTCCTCTAAGGTACATTTAGAACAGATACAAAATGTGCGATTAACTTGCGATTAATCGCGATTAACTATGGACAATCATGCGATTAATCGCGATTAAATATTTTAATCGACTGACAGCCCTAATAGCAAGACCAGAGATTGTCCTGAACATTTTGATATGTAACACATGGGGTGCCATGTTAGAAGAAATACATTTAAAAAGGTGATTTAAGAAAACATCTAAAAATCGAGAAAATACCTTTAGACTCCAGAGGGTTCATTAAAAGCATATAGATTACACACACGTTTTTGTAAATATGTAACATGATACATAATGATGATGAACCACAAGAAAAAAAGGTAGTGAGGTCCCAGGTTGTGAAGTTTAAATTGGTAATGTTTTATAACCAAACACATTGTTTGTACCGAGATACATTTCTTTCCTTGGCTGACTTCTAATCTTGTGGAGCTTCATTGGCCAAGTTGTCCAGGTGTTGTTTATAAAAACATGTGAAGTGCCAGCCTTGGCTGTCTGTGATATCCTGAGCGCCTTTAGCTGCGTAGAAGTCTTTGGACGGGGTATTCCAGTCTGAGACAATAAACTCCATCAGCACACACTGCTTCTTCTTCCCCATCTGAGGAAACAGAACAGTCTCCTTCATCAAACAGGACAATTTGAAAAGAAGACTATACTTTAGAGGCCAAGAAACACATCCTTATAGAGCAGGGGTGTCAAACTCAAATACACAGTGGGCCAAAATAAAAAAAACTAGTCGAGGGCCGGACTGGTTCAATGTTTATTGCAAAACGTATTGAAATGAACTTATTGCACATATTAAACCTGGAACTAACAAAGCTTAAATGATTGCCTATAAAAACAACATTAAACATGAAATAATCAGTTGCATTCATTTCTTATGGCTCTATCTGCAGCTTTTCCGGAGTCATTTCTTATGATTACATTTTTCCACAGGCCAACAACAGCTTCAACAAAACTATTTCCCTCAAAGAAAAAACCAAACATGCCCTGTTGTCGTGAGAGAAAGTGCAGAAGGAAACATCCATTAAACTCAGGGTGCTGCTCTGTGATGCTAGTTCAAGCAGATACTTGGCATCTCATCTTGGGTGCAAGGTCATCAATGTTTGTGCTCAGGCTCTGAGCTGAGGAGACCCTCAGGATTGAGTAAAGGTGTGCGTGCAATATACCGGCGGGCCAGATCTAATAGTAATTAGAAATTATCCTGCGGGCCGAAATTAAATCCACCAAGGTCCTGATTTGGCCCCCGGGCCTTGAGTTTGACACATGTGTTATAGAGCAATCGCCCGTGTACAGAGGCTGATTCGTCCTGCATGATTTCTCACTTTATCCCCTTTCCAGTCTATCTTCAGCTGTACTAATAACGACAAAAATAATCTTTGAAAAACAGAAAGACATTCTTACCTCAGCGACTTTGCACAGTAAAACCTTGCCAATGCCCGTTCCTAGAAAACATTTATAGATTAAGGTGAAACAGAGTCATAAATACATTTGAATGCATACAAAAATTGCAGCGCATAGAAGACATTTTATTGTTTGAAGATTACATATTATGCTTATTTTCAGGTTCACATTTGTATTTTGTTGCTTAAAGGTAGGTAGTTTCACTTCAGAAACACTTGTTAAATTCCATGGAATGCTCTTAACATCCGGATAGCAATGAATATATGAAATGCTTTGACAATAAATACATTAAAAAAAGTCATCTGTGGAAGCCGTGGCGCTGTAAAAAGCACGACCAATCATCTGAGCCGGCCCGGCTAAAGTAACTGGATGGCCTACCTGCCTGTCAGCCTTCCATCTGGGCACAAACTTATCTCGTGCCCTCATTGGTTATGTGCGCGTTCGTGTGTGTTGGAGGAGGGGCTCTGTAAGGAAGTCTGAAGGAAGGGGCAGATTTGTTTCGGTTGTGTACTTTCAACACTCGAGCTGGTTTCTCCATTCTTACCTACCCTACCTTTAACTGTGACATGTTAACATGCTAGTTAAAAAGAATAAACAAACAAACAAACAACAAACAGTGCTAGCCAATAGAAGCCACCTGTTACATAGTGATGTCACTATGTAACATAAGTAAACAATGGAGGCCAATGGGGGCGTTTCAGAGTGTGTGGGAGAGAAACTTGAGGGAACTTTGAGATGTTAGCCTTTGCAGACAATGTACATGCACAAAAACCTATATAACACTATGGGAAAGGGAAAACCCCAAAAAGCATAAAAGGGCCTCTTCGTATCTTTCAAGGCTTTCTTGACATCTACGCAACACATAATTTACCTCTGAATTCTGCCATCACAAACAGGTTGTCCAAAAATACTGACCGCCCCTTCCATGAACTGTAACTGTAAAGGTAAACAGCATATCCGACTACTGTGAATCTAGGGACAAAAAGAAACAAGCAATTAAAAGAGAAGTTCCAGAAACATTTAAATGGAAACAAATAACGGGGATGGGAGTGATATTTACAGTGGCGACTGGTCATTAGGGGCAGGTGGGGCACAGCCCCACCTAGTGTCAGCAGAAAGTATTAAAAGTAATGATTACAAAAAAATGCAAAAAATAAATTAAAAAATATATAAAATATATTTTAAGATCATATTTATTCATCTGATTCGTCTGTACATTGCTGTTTTAGTCTGTGTTCTTCTAATTAGTGTTTACAGTGTGTGCCTATTGAGCTGTTTTGAGCCATGTGGGACAAAACCCGATCCTGCCCCTCCCTCTCCCTGTTTAAGTCAATGGTGACTGTAAAAACTACACTGCGCATGCTCAGAGTATTGTCCTATTTAATGTGTGTGGCAAAAAAATAATGACCATAGGGGCATAGTGCTGCCATCCCCACCATACGTCATCTCACATAATTCAGAGCTGATTGGCTGTAAGTACGTGTGCCGCGAAAAGTGTGGTGTGTGAAGAGGAGGAGAGAGAGCTGCAGTGAGGCGTCCTAAAACCCGGAAATAAACTGCGCATGGCTTCCCTCCACAAAAAAGCAATGATATTTCTCCATAGAATTTTAGAAAATAGCTCAAAATAAGATCTGTGGGAAACAAACCTGTTAGATAAATGCACGTTTTGTTCAGCCGGATAATATCCACATGTCTACCCTACTTTTATAATTTTCTAATCATAAATCTATTGATTAGATCAGATTTATGATAGACTTTTGAAACTACAAGAACATAAGGAGGACTTTTACAAAAAAGTAATAGAGATTTTTGTCCAGAAGGATAGGCAAATGGACTTCATCTTCATGTCAAGGTAAGACTGCAATTTGATTGAAAATGGGATCTTACTAAGAGAGAACAATTCAATATTTAAATGATACAATTACATTTTTTGGGTATCCTTTTGTTGAACTGTCTGTTTAAAATTAATTGAAGCATCAGACAAAAAAAGCTTTTGAAAATAATATGATATTTTGATTTAGGTCAAAATATAATATTTGTAAACCTGAAGAGTCAGAGCCTCACCAGCCATGAACCTCACTGCAGAAGCTTATATATAGACATCTAAGTTTTTTGTGCCTCACCACTTTTGTACATATAAAAACGCCACTGGATATTTAGCACATCACAACCCTAGTGAAACTGGAATTACAACTTTAAATGTATTACAAACAAGCCACAGTTGAGTTTTAAACAGTATAAAACAGAAAAAGCTTATAAAGAGGGAATATACTCCTCAATATACCTAGATGTCCAGAAGTCTGAATTCTCTACTGCACACTACACGTTTAAGTTTGGAGCATGCTGACAGGGAAAGATAACTGTGCATGCGTTAATGAACACTTTACCTTCTTTAGATCTATTCTCCTCAGGCACTTCTGCAACGAGGCATTCAAAGAAAGGATCCGTGCAGAAACCGTCACGCTCAAGATCTAAAGTAAAAAAACAGAAATGTACCCAAATAGCAACATTTCCTATTTACAGAGAAGGTAATAGTAGTCCTCTGCATCCAAGTGAGACAACAACAATTCAAACACATCAATACTTGAAACATGTATGCTGCATTTACGTTGTACTAATAAACAAACGGCGACACTTGTCAAAACACTGCTCTACTGCGCCATTAGTGGGCAGAAACTCAACCAGGTACCTTTAAAAGTATAGTTTCTACACATTACATTACATGTTACTTGTTAGACACTTTTATCCAAAGCGACTTACATACTCAATACTGTGGACAATCCCCACAGGAGCAATCTGGGGTGAAGTGTCTTGCCCAGGGACACAACGACATGCTGACTGCAGTGGGGTTTGAACCCGTGCCCCCCCTGATCCAAACACAAACGCACTAGTCCACTGCGCCACATACCCACTTGTCAAAAGACTGCTCTATTTCGCCATTAGTGGGCAGAAACTCAACAAGGTACCATAATATGGAATGCCATTTAAGCCAACATTAAATAAATAAATACATAAATAAATAATTAAATAAATACATATATATATATAAATATGCCTATGAAATAAATTCTGAAATAAATAAATGAGGCAATAAATATGTATACATGTACATTTAAATACACATTTATTTATTTCATGGGACTTTTATTTCATAATGACACATTTATTTATTTCAAGAGACTTTTATTTCATAATGACACATTTATTTATTTCAAGAGACTTGTATTTCATAATGACACATTTATTTATTTCAAGAGACTTGTATTTCATAATGACACATTTATTTATTTCAAGAGACTCGTATTTCATGATGACGCATTTATTTATTTCAGGTGACTTGTATTTCATGATGAGACATTTCCATTCCTTATATGCAAATGAACAGGGCGTGGTTAGCTCACAGATCCAGACCATGATCCAGACCAAAGCAACAGCACCACAACACTGACTCAATAGCTTTTGTTTCACATTCCAGTACTCTTAAGTGGTTTGCAAACTGCCAATAAACCAAACCGGTTCAAGAACCATTCTTGTGCTTTTCTGGTGCTTAACTGGTCTTATCTGATCCGCCCAATGCTGCTCTTCTGAGAGCAACTGCTCTGACAGCTCTCTCTAGTCTCTACTGGGAAACAGCTAAAAGTCCTTCTGGAGGTAAGCAACGCTACACAATTACACCCAGTCTGAGAGTAAAAGATTAGCAGCTAACGTTTTCTGCAGTTTGTGTTGCCCCTGAAAAACGTGATGTAGTTATTTAAGGGTATGTTAAATTAACGTTATTTTACAAGTTGAGAGAGTTAAGTTGTGTTTAAAATCGTCAATGTAATGCACGTTTAGGGTTGCCAACTTCCAGAAGTGGAAAAACGGGACACAGGCATGTGTCTCCCACCGTAATGTCGTGTCAGGTGGGCGTGTCGTGTACCGTCGTGTTCTGTCCGCGGCCGCAGCTAGACCCTTCTCCAAAAGTTGGGCCATTTTGTCATCATGCGCCATTGAGCAACTCTCATAGGAATGAATGAGGCCCCGCCTCCCACACTGTATCCAGTTCTTATTATACATCCATGCTGTCACTACCAAGCCCCCAGGAAGTGCGCCGGAGTCTGATGAGAATATTCGTGCTGGTCAAACGGCGGTACTACACTTCCTTTAGGTTGCTGGGCCCGGAAACACTTTTTCCCATTGACTTACATTGGGAAAGAGTGGTCTGTAACTGGTTGGATAATTTTTTTTAAACTAAATAAACTACCCAGTATGAACGTTTGTATAGCCCTTATTAAAAACATTCGTTCTTCAAGTTGTAAAAATGTGCTAATCACGTTATTCTGAGAGTTATTTCCCTCGGCATTATGAACGCGCATCTAACCCACGGGACCGTGCCGCCCGGCACGTTCATGTTACGTGTTCAGTACTACGAGTTTCTCTTTACCCATGGATGCACAATAACAACGGACCATATCGCCTTACTGCAAGCCCACGGAGCTGTAATAATGGATATATTGCACATGTTTGCTGTAATTCATCATTTGTAAAATATTATACTACATGGGCTGTATGATGTAAATCTTGTACCGTAAATGTTGTATTAAATAAAGTTAATATTACCGACGTAGATTAACGTTCCTGTAGCTTCTTATTGCACTTGCAATTGTTTTAGTTACTTGTGGGCTACTTAACATGAATAATCACAGTTCAGTCAGACAACTCACGTGCTCCTTTAATATGTTTATTAGAAGCAGCATATAGTTGAGTTTGGCGACTAGGTTCGGGCATCATCGCTCCATAGATATACATAGCACGATGAGTGATGATTAAATAACTAACCCCCGAGCCTACAGGTGGAAGCTGGGGTGGAAGGTGGTGGTGGGGCAGGCAAGCAGCAGCGACGTAGAGGTAGCTGCAGCAATAGCAGCAGCAAGCAATGCATGGAGAGAGATCTGGCAGGTTAAATAGAGCGGCATATTAAGGAGACTCTGTTTGGTTGGTTGTAGAGTGGCAAGGGGCGTTATGTATGAATGCAGCATAAGTGCTTGAGTTGACTGCCTGAACTAGCTCGCAGGCTTCGCCTCATTTCAGTCAGACAACTCACGTGTTCCTTTAACATGTTTATTAGAAGCAGCATATAGTTGAGTTTGGCGACTAGGTTCGGGCATCATCACTCCATAGATATATATAGCACGATGAGTGATGATTAAATAACTAACCCCCAAAACTGCATGGAGATTAGATACTATCCCCCAACACTGCATAGCCCGAGCCTGACGCTGGTGATGTAAGACTGATAAGTAGAGGGCCTGGCGAGCTGCGATGTGGCCATTCCCCCTAAGCACAGCGGCTTTAAGGGGAATATACTACTAGGTGAGACTGCTATGTGTAGGCCTGAGGAATAGCCCAGAGCCGATTCTTCCCTGAGCACAGTGGCTTGGAGAGGAATATACTACCTATATACACTACCTAGTGAAACTGCTATGTGAAGGCCCGGGAACAGCCCGAAAAGCCATCCCCCTTAAGCACCGCAGCTTTGAGGGGAATATACTACCTATCAAGACTGCTGTATCTAGGTCTTTGAGGCAGCGACAATGAGCTTTCCCCCCCAAGCATGCAGCTATGAGGGGAATATACTATAATGAAATAAATATAATCTAACCCAGCAACCACCTGGTATGCAATAACAGATATACAGATATACATATTTGAACGTTTACTCATCATCGAGTAGTGCAAGAGCTCATGGTTGTTTGTGCTGAAAGGATCTCATTCATGTGAGGCATGATATAGCGCTGGTGGGCAGAAGATGACCGACGGCCCAGGATATTCAGGGTTGAGGTAGGCGGATATAGAGCTGCGGTTGTGGCTGTGTAGATTCTTAAACAGTGGGAATAGCGATCTGGGGCAGATCGCAGCTTAGGCAGAGATCGCGCAGCTTGGAGGAGAACCCTCGTCGTTGGGTTTGCAGCCATCGAATAAACATGGGTGCCGACCCATGTGTCAGAGGGCAATGATGCGAGAAGTTCAGCATGGAAGATAAAGGACAAAGAAAACAGTGTTAGTTTTAGCAATGATTATTCGGGGTTCCTTGACTCCCCAGACAGAACTGTCAGACATTGAATGTTTCAAAACTGTGTATATTTGATCTCCAACGTTAATTCAGTAAGGGTGAGATTATGCTGAGGATTAAAAGGTGAGAGGTCTGTGTATATTCGCCACCTGAGAAACCAATAGAAAGCTGTAACAACTGCATCTGACGTTTATCAATGTATAGTGAAACCCCTTTGCCAGTCTTTATCATTGCGTGGAGGACGTGCCTTCTTAAGGCCCTTGAGGAGCAAATTAATTAACTCTAGCGTGGCTTAATACTTAGCACTTGAAGATTGCAGGATTCGAATGAAAATACAATTATATATAATGCATGAACGACTATTATATCTATTGCACAAGTACACAGAGGAGGGACAGAAGAAGATAAAGTACCAAGCTGAATTGTATGCTTTGAATCATGCTCTTGGTTGGAGGCAGAATATGGGAAATCCTTGAGGGGCTTGACATGTAGATCCAGAGTCATTTGGTTGAACGAAGGGCATGGCAAGCTGGTGGGGCAAACCACTCATTGTGAAATCTCCCGAACCAGCCGAAGGTGCAGCATCTGTAAGTAACTAGAGAGGATCTGAGGACACCGCAAGGTCATTATAAAAGAATGAACATAACATTCCACTCGTCGCAGAGGGGCTAAGGACCAAAGATCTGAGCAATAACCATCTCTAAGATTGCATTCATGCCGAATAGTCCGCGTCTTTACACCAGACACAAGTGTATTACATTGTTTCATTTGCAGAAGGTTGGGTTTGCGTTCACCCAGGCAACTTCAAATAGACTATGAACTGTAAACTAAAGTCATTGTACGGAGATGCTTTTTCAACAATTGGCGGGACATCAAGCGGATAAAATGCAGATCCCAGCAATTTCTACAGTAGCCTGCATGGAGCATTGGCAGGTTATTTTCATACTGCTGTTAATCTGGAGAGTACATCAACAGACTCTGCGGCCGGCGCATAGGATTATAAATCAGACAACGTGCATTAAAAACATTATAACACAAAATGCGACGTTATGCAGTGAGGAGGTTTCACCGATGACAGGTGGCTCTGATGAGATTGTACCACTGCCCTTTCTCTGTACATAGGGGACCAGTGAGGTAAGCAGTCACCAGAATGAATGCATGATCCTATAGGTTACTGGATGTTGCACACAGCATAGATAGCAAAACAAGCGATGACGCACAAATAGTTGTTTCCCATGTTTTGATGCGGACTACGTCACACCAGCAATGAACCTCTCTGGAGTTTACTAGCGAGCGACCCGAGACCACCTCTTTTAGCGGAGCAGAGGTATCGGACTGCTTCCACACCAATCCAACGAACCGCATCAAGGGGTTAACGCTACAGGGACCGATTCAATAGTACTAACCAAGCAGGTGTGAACGTGACCTAAGACTATGGTGCCTTAAGGTTTGGACAGAAAGGCTAACGCTTGTTCCTTATAAATATAAAACATCTCTTTTAGAGAGACTACCCGTGGGAGACCATAATTGAAGGCAGTAATCAGTATTGAATGTATTACAAGTCTAATATGTAGTATAACGTAGAGCACTTTGAACATTTGGAAAGGCGCTAAATAAATAACATGAATTGTAATTATGGCTGTTCTGATGCGGGACAGCTTGTCTGGTGGCAGTAAAGCTTACATCAGCACACTATCGAGAATGATACCGATAATTCTAGACGTGTGGAAGGGCTTCCAGTTCCTGTTCTGAAAGAGGTAGGCCTAGCTGTTGAAAAGTTTTATCTGGGAAAGTTAACTAGGAAATGGTTAAAAGATGGACACCAAGGGGTGCTTGCAGGTGTTGCAGAGAATCCAGCATACTGCTTCTGATGAGGTGTCAAAGAAACGTGGGCTACTATGGATACCAAATGCACATTTGATTGTAAAACCTTAAAATATATATGCCACAGAAGGCATATGGGATGTCTGCTTTCCCTGCCATGTCATCTACAGAGCAAAGAAACGGGAAAATCTTTAGTAGTTATTAATACTCTTAACAGAATAATCGTGAGGAACTAACGGCTCAAGAAACGTTGCTAGAATAATTCCTCCTAGCACTAGGCTAGGGGCCTGTCGTGTTTTTAAACGTTTAAATAGCAGCACGTGTAATACTCCTGGCTCCTTCAGTGCAAACTTCAGTCTTGAGTGCAGGTTTCAACAGACATGGGTCCCTGGGCAACACATCCTCACTCCCAGATCGGCCTATGTTGACGTTATGTCAAGTCCCCTGTCGGCTTTTTCCAACGCAAGGGGGGGGGCCTTAGCGTCCAT